TAGTCAACGAAGACTACCAATATATGCTCTTTGTTATCTAAGTGGTTATAAATACTGTCAGTGAAAGTGGATAGCAGTTGAGTCGTGCTTTTATGTGGTTGAAATCCGTATTGGTTGCAAGTTAGTATACTATTAATGGCATAAAATTGTTGTATTTGTGTTTCTACATATTTTTCTACTACTTTATTGATCGTAGGCAATATGATTATTAGTCTATAGTTGAGGTAGTCTGCCTGGCTACCTGTTTTATGAATTGGTCTCACAATGCCGGTCTTTAGTAACTTTAGGTGCGGTTTGCCAGTGAGAATGCATGCGTTTATAAGTTCAGCAATGGTTAATGAAATTTTGTCACATATCATTTTTATATCGATGACTCTTATCCTATCTACTCCGGGAGCTTTGTTACTATTAATAGATTTTAGTATTTTTATTGATTTGGGTTCTGCAGACCTAAATCTCATACTCACGTTTGCTGATACTGCATAGGTTTTTTTTGTCGAGCAATGGTTCGGTACATTTTGATCTTATTTGTTTGACACTATTATTGAATATGGCAGCGAATTTATTTGCAACGTCTTTAGATGACTTCTTATTGCTGCCAAAAGAGCGTTCTAAGCCTTCATCTATAGACGATTTTATTCTTCCTGTTAATCTGTTTAAGATAGACCACAAATTTTTAGTATTGTTTTTGTTGGATATTATTTCTGACTTAGTTTTTTTGTTTTTAGTTTCTTGAATGCATTGGCATTGTTTCTAGCTTTATTGTATTTTAGTTTTAGAATCATATTATTTGTATTTTTTATCCATTGAAGAAATAAATTATCCAGGCTTTGATGATTTTATTATTTATCCAGTCGTTATTAATTCGCGTACTTTTCGTATTAATTTTGATTGATTATTCTGATTTTTTATAGCATTCTGTAAATTTTGTACAAATATAGTTGTAAATATTTATAGGACAGGTCATGTCGTAAGTGGGCGTCCAATCTATTTGTTCTAACAGTGAATTACAAAAGACCTAGGCTGTGTAACGTGTTGTTGTATTTAGGTTTTGCAGGATTGTCTAATTTCAGGTTAATGTTTGTATCGCCTAGTAAGTATAAATCTGTGTCACAAGAGTATTTGTCGATTAAGTTTAGGAGTTCGTCAATAAAAAGGTTTTTACTCGAGCTGGGAGGGCGATATACGGCACATATATTCGTAATATAATTTGGGTTAGTGGTGATTGTAAGTAATATGTTTTCAAGTTTATAGTTTTTGTGTTGCATTTGTGTTTGTTACTGACGTAAATGATTATACCGCCACCCCTTCTAGTTTTTCTTAACGCAGTAAACATTTGATAGCCATTGATATGAAACAAACAGCTAGTATTATTACCATTACATTAACTTCAGTTAAAATTACGACATCAATAGGTTTATTTGACGTTAGTATACATTGTTCAAGTGCTGTGAAATTTTTAATTAGACATCTGATATTAAAATAAATGCAGCATAAATTAACATGGTGATTAGGAATATCGTTTAGAAATTGATTTATATTTAGACAGTCAGATATCTCACAAATTTTATCTAACATAATTCAAGTTATAAAACGAGTTTAGATCTTACGGCTATGTATATGGATAGTTACAAATTTAAGAAAGCACATTTAGGTCATGCAAGGTTTTCAATGTGTAAATTTTTGAGCTGTTATCCTTACGTGCCTGTACATATCCCTTCTTAAACCATACATACTTATAATTCTGGTTGTTTTTTAAATCCTGCTTCGCCTGCCACAATATAATCTTATTATTTTTTGTCATTGCTTCTCTGATGTACACTACATTATTGCTGTTCATTTCTGTAGGATAGATATCTGCTACGGTAGTCTTAGTGGATTTTGCTGCTGATATCCATTTCTCTTCTGAAAGCTCGTCTTGAAATTCTACCTTTATGTTCCCCGGGTGGTCTTTTTTCCAGGAAGCCTTCGAATACTTTTTATTCCTTCGAGGGGCTGTTGGAGTTTCAGAGCGATGCTATCCACCAGTTTTCCACCAGTTTTTTGACATTTTCTGTGGGCTGGCAGAGAACATTTGATATTTCTATGCAATTTGTAAGATTTTCTTGCTCTATTTCTTGCAGTTGCTGTTCAAGAGCACCTACCCGCATTTCCAAATTGTTGTTCTTATTAATAAGCTCTATATTTTTTCGTTCTAGAACTTTAATGGTTTTTTAAATGAATACGGTTGTTCAACTGCGGTTGTTAACTATCGGTTGGTCACTATATATTTTAAAAGATTTCTTTGAATTATTCGATAGTATCTAAATATCTGTTGGTAGTAGCTGGTTTTCTTAACACTACTGACTAGCGGCTATTATCAAATAAACTAGCTAATTTTATCACTTGTGTAACTGCGGATATCAGTTAGCACTTTCTGCGATTAGCTCTCACTTTCACTATATGTAACTGCGAATATCAGTTACCACTTTTTTCGGCTAGCTAACACTTTCACCATACGTACTACCGGACTGCAGCTACTATCGGATACTACTGCTTTTCACTGGTAGCTTTTCACACTACCGCTGGTTGCTACTGGTAGTTTTTCACACTACCACGTTGCTAGGTCCCGAGCCCCTAAGGTAGACTTTGGCTATACCTTACAATGAGCCGCTTGCCATTTTCCGTTTTGCCTCTTTATTGCACGAAATTTTCACTATACAATTGGCATAAATTACAATATTTTCTATACAAGATCGTTTTCTACACTAACATGCTATACATCATCAAATCGGCATTTTAGTCCTTTATTAGTATATGATAAAGGTTACTCAATACATTAACATTTTAAAAAGTTATTAAACGAAATGTCCCAAATTTTCATAATATTTGGCTACATTCATTCTTTAATTTTTCTATAACTAACAAATGCGTTTAATTATACAAAATATTCCTTCACTTCCTTAATCTATAATCCTTATGCTAATTCAATGTCATATTTATAACTCTTTTAGAACATCAAATTATTTCCATTATTTTCGGTATCAACTGTCACATAGTTAAGTAAAAAACTTCTAGAAAGTTCTACGATACGACGCGCTGTGATTGGTCGATTTTTCCTTATACAATTAAAAGTTGTTTATCTTAACTGTTATCGGAACGACATTCTATACAAATATATTAAGAGTTATAAACATGCTGTAAAAGTATATTAATACATTATTCACTCGATTTTGTCGGTTATTTCACTATTAATATAAAAACAATATTCTTTCATCACTTTGTTTCTTAACGTTGTTAGGCCGTCGCAAACAATTTATTTACTGTGTGTTAGGGTGAACTATACTAGGGACGTTTATGGAAGAAAAGATGGTGTAGTGTATGTGATTTTAAAATGTTAGCAAGTATGTAATAAAATACAGTTCATAGATCGAAATGAAGGTATTATCATTTATATTGCCTGTTAATACACGAATATAAATGCCCACTGTTTCGAGCGCACCGTGTCAGTATCACGAGAGCCGCGGGCGAGAGTGGACGCGTAGTGAAACTATTGAGTTTACGTGTGCGTGTGTGAACCAGTGAATTGCTGTGAAGTATCGACTATTACAGATGGTACTCTTGACGATTATATATTACACTTTTTACAAGCGGCAATAACAACTATTATTATTCACAGTCTTGATTATTTTCTTGATTTTTCTTTCTTGAGTGCCGCTGTCGAATTGAATGCGAAGGCCAATAGTGACTCGGAAACCAAAACGCCCTTCTTATATTCCCGAGAAGGGTGTCTCGGCACGAGTGTGTTGTTATGAGATGTGCCGCGCGCTGATTAGTCGGCGGCATCACGCGATGTTCGGGTGGCATGCGGTGTGGGCGTAACGGGGTATGAAGGGGCGACGGGGCGGCGGCTCCCCTCGCCGTCCGTAACAAAAGTAGTTCTGCTTGATTGCTTGCTGGTTCTTCCAAGATTCTTAATCTCGTATTATTATATTTATTTATTATATTTTTGTTATATTGGTCCCTATTTATTCGGCATAAGAATATTTTATGTATGTCGGTTTCGTTTTAGTTTGTTGTGATCGGTGGTAGTATTTATTTGCTATTTTATTCATAATTTTTATATTGTATAACACTACTTTTACGGTCTTTATCACGTTGACTTGTACTTATTTTTACATCTCGACGTTTTGAGTGCTTTCCTACACCCATCACACCCGACACAGAACACAATTACTGTCTACCAAGAACGCATTCCCAAGTAGGTGGTAGTATCCAGGCTCCTTCTCTATTGAAATTAGGATGTTTTTAATTTCACTAGCCTCACATGTCATCCTTGGCAAGAATCGATGTTCTTTCGAGTGGTCTTGTAGTCTATCAAATCTGATGTAATGGCGAAGGCTATCTAGGCCATGATCACAAACTGCAGACTTTCCGGAGCGTTGGGGTTTCACGTCAGCTATATGTTTTTTTATGAGAATTTAATAGATTTTATTGTTTGCCCTTTATACGAGAGACCACGTTAACAATCAAGCGTGTACGGAGTGCATCTGTTAGAGGGATATCATTATCATAATATTATAGTTAGTCTATTAATGCCACTGAATATTGAACGGGCGCACACGTCGAGGATTGGATTACCTTACATGGATCGAGCAGGTATAAAAAATTATAATAATTGAGATGCTATGTAAAGAATGTAATATGATTCATGTTAAGCCACGGTACGGTGGTTATATAAGCTGTTATTAAAATCTCCTGAAATCTTGGTAAACAATCGACGAATATTTTGAATGAAACTTACTTATTAGTCTAGACTTGATCTAAGACATTTGCTTGCCTTACTTGGCGAATCGAAATAACGAAATAAGAACAATTATAATTGTCATTGGTCACGTTTTCACCATAGATAAGTAATATATTATTTATCTATGGTTTTGATTTGACCATTTGACAGATGACAGATACTCTGTCCTCTGTCCATAAACAATATCTTGTCTTTCTGAAAGTTGTGTCTGAACATGGCGGTCGGTAAAAATAAAGGTCTGTCCAAAGGCGGTAAAAAGGGCGTTAAAAAGAAGATGTAAGTTAGTAATAAACCCTTAATTTTCCTTCGAGATATGTCTGTATATTGTTAAACTCTTAATATCAGGTCTGATGTATGTGATTACTTTGGTAATTATGGATAATGTTTAGTCTCGTGTTAAATTGTATGTTATCTCTGTGAATCTGTTGACAATTAACATAAAATAGTATCTTGAATATACTTTAGTTTAATTACTTTTCGTTTAATTTGTCTTTTCTAGAACAGTGGCTTATTTTGAGGTTATGATAATCCTAATTTTCTTGCAGTGTTGATCCTTTCACCCGCAAAGACTGGTATGATGTCAAAGCACCGTCTATGTTCACCAAGAGGCAAGTCGGAACAACTCTTGTCAACCGCACTCAGGTTTGTAATTTTATTAATCAAGAAAATTGTTTAGAATTGAATATTTTTCAGCTGATTTTTATTCTTACTACTTGATAAACTAATGGATTACACTGATTTACAATTTAAAAAGAATTAAAAGGTTATGATGATCCACCTAGCTCGCAATGACACAGAACTGATGAAAACGTTTGTTCCCTTTTGATTTATTACTGACTTACTATTATCTTATGCTTACATGTAGATTCTCTGTGGATTATTATTCTTACACAGTGTGATTTTTCAGGGAACAAAAATTGCTTCAGAGGGTCTAAAGGGGCGTGTGTTTGAGGTATCATTGGCTGATCTTCAGGCCGATACTGATGCGGAAAGGTTTGTTATTTTGAAGTATAATTTTTGTTACTTTTGTTAATTTGTACATTAATACGTGAGACATAAGATAACATGTTATAGTAACAATATTCTGAAATGCCTTGCAGTCCAGCTATATGAAAGTTGATTACATTACTTTTGTATCGTTTCAAACTGCATAAAATAATTGCTTCAACATGAAATTGTGCCTTATTAATTAATTGTTTTAGGCCATTTTTGTAGTAGCTACAACTTGAATTATGTTGAATTTTTTCTAAACAATAGTTTACTATCACAGTTACCACATGAGTTATGAATTTTAGGTCTTTCCGTAAATTCCGTCTTATTGCTGAGGATGTGCAAGGTCGGAATGTGCTTTGCAACTTCCATGGAATGGACCTTACCACTGATAAACTCAGGTATGTAAGATTTTTGAATCACACCACAATTATAGTACTATTTAGATGATGATATAAGAAAATGAAGAATCATTTGACCCACACAACATTGGAAATATAGAAATTTGTACATATTAGAAATAATTAAGTAGTTATGTTATTTTAAAAGGATCCATGATAATCTCTAGGGTAACCACAGTATTGTTTTTCTGTCAAAGCTTTAATTGACTTCATGAACAAGTGGACACAAAATATCAATTTTAATTCAGTTTGAATATAGAAATGTTTTTCTTATTTAAATAAATGTGTTAGATTGTATACATTGTTTGTTTTGAAGAACCATTTTCAACATTCTATATAATTTAAACTTATCATTACAGCCCTTTCAAGTCCACTACTGAATATAGGACTCCCTCAAAGCATGCCACAAAGCATGGTTACGAGCCAACTGCATCCATCCTGCATGTATTACCAGGTTGTCACTCCCATCTAGTGGGGGACACCCTATACTTTGCCTGCTGGTATGAGGCTGCCACTTGAGAACATTTTTTCACCATGGGTTGTTGGTTCTTCGAGCTATATGGCCGGCTCCTTGCCACTTCAGCTTACTAATCCTTTGGGCTGTTGTTTAAATTTATATTATATAGTTTAAATGTCATTAATCTTTATATATATGCATAATATGTTCTCTACAACACTGTCTTTCTGTATGTGTTCGAAAACCATCCAAAAAGAAAAAAGAAAAAAATTACATGTTACGTTGTTTGTCCGCGATGGACTCCTAAACTACTGAACTGATTTCAATGAAATTTTGCACACTGTGTGCATTTTGGTCCAACTTGAGAGATTGGACAGTTTTTATCCTGATAAATGACCCTCAAAATTTTTTATTGCGAATTTAAGGAATTTTATAGGAAGGGTCATTAGAAAGGGCAGAACAACGTCTGCCTGGCGAGCTAGTTAATACATAAATCTTTTTCAAAGAATGCTAGTAACTGTAGTAACTTATGTAAACCATTCTAAATGAGCTTAAAATGCAAGTTAAAACTTAGAAGAGATTCATGAAGTAGTCTAATCATGCATTTAAATCTATGAATTTTTAGTTTTACAGTTTATATCCTTAACTATTAGTTACTGTTGCTTTCAACTGTCACTTGTGTTTTGTTTCATTTCATTTTTCACACTTGTTTCATTGCATATCTCTTTATAATGTCATTGTATGCATGTACACCAAGTTCAATCCTCAGCAGTACCAATGAAATTGTCAATTACACTTTTAAGTGTTGATTCTCCACATCCGGTGCAGTGAATAAAAACATTGTGATCAAAGAATGGACATAAAACACTAAGATGATTTAATGGAAATTCCTTATTGAGCTCTTTGCAGTCCAGCTATATGAATGCACTGTTTATAGTCTTCATATCGTTTTAAACTGCATAAATAAAAGCTTCACATTAAAATTCCTTTATAGTATTATATTACATAAAGGATTTTGTGTTGTTGCTACAAATTTTTGGTACTTTAGGGATTATCCCATCAACCTCTCAATGCTATTTTTAATTTACTTATGGTTAACGATAATATCAATATTAATGTCTATGTAAATCTACTACTGATAGTGATATTGCAAGATTGGTGTAATGTTTTATTTTTATTTGTTTTATGAGCACTGAGAGGTTGACGGAATAATCCCTAAGTACCAAATTTTCCATTCTATTTTTAAATTAACTATTTTTGTTATAATAACTCAAAGCTAAATAGAACTATGTTTCTCTGCAACCTTTCATTATCATCAATATTACAGCCCTTCACAAGTCCACTACAGAAAATTTTAAATGTTTACCCTTCACACATACATGTGGTGTAGGTGGTATACCTATCTCTTTGAGCTAGGTGTTAGATATGTAGTAATTAGTGTGAATGTAATAATGCTGTGGTTAGGAATACATTTTCACCTTACCGGTAGCTGACATGAGTTCTATGTCCAATTTGCTCTGAAATCTTTACAGAATAAATATATAAATTTTTTTTACTAATTCCTTCAGATTTTGTGATTTTCATCGATTATATTCAAAATATTAATCATTTTAGTCTATAAATACATTTGTTAATGACTTGACTACAGTGCCACCTATCAAATCAATGAACCATTGTCTTGATTAGTCAATTTGCAAATTTAATGTGAATAAGACCTCAATTGGTCAAGTCCTTCAGAAGTTACACATATATCATTATTTCATTTTGTCTTTATAGATGGATGGTCAAGAAGTGGCAGACACTTGTTGAGGCTAACATTGACGTGAAGACCACAGATGGTTACCTCCTCAGAGTTTTCTGTATTGGTTTCACCAATAAGGACTCCCTTAGCCAACGCAAAACTTGCTATGCACAGCACACACAAGTAAGTGTTATTTCAATCTAATTTTCAAGTATAGTATATTAGTATATTATGATAGTCTTCCTTCTTTCTATAAATAATTAATATTTCATTGTGCTTGTGGCTCTTGCTTTAAAGTTAAGGTTACAGCCTATATACGTCCCACTGCTAGACTACACTAGACTAGACACAGCTCCCCTATATCAGCAAAGAAGCATCCTCCAGGCTGCCCTTTATTTCTCAAACATGCAAGTTTCTTTGTGATGTTTCCTTTAATGCTAGGCACGTGGTAAATCAGTTATTTTTTACAATTTCATTAGATTCATTAAACCCAGACTGATCACATACTATGAATTAATAAAATCAGGCGTTACTTTGCGGAAATCCATTAAATTAAGTTTGCAAAAATTGCCTCGTGGACATCCACTTGATAAAATAAAATGGTGTCTTACCTAGTTTGAAGAGCACCTCCGTCCTCCCTCAACTGCGTGCACTATTCCCGCCACGACTACTCCCAACACCACTACACTAGGAAAAACACCAATGACGTCAATAGTTTTGCCTCAACATGTGGCATCTTCAGGTGATGTAGACCGTGGTGGCTGACTGCTAAGTCTACTACTCTTCTCGATATATTTGTGTTAGGTTAGTGGTAAGTATTTGTTCAGCCATAATATAGCCTCCACACCTTTCATACTTGGAGAACATAACAGAGTATGTTCTAACACTGTAATTTTGTAACTGAATAGGTAGCTTGGGGTCCACTTGGCAATGTGTGGTTTAACACAGAATAGCCATTATTAAATCTTGTTCCTATTGTATATTTTTTTAGGAAGCATTATTCTTTAATTTATTAAAATATAAAATATACTATGAATTTATAGGTAAGAGCCATCAGAAAGAAGATGTGTGAGATCATTACCCGTGATGTGACTAACTCTGAGCTTCGTGAGGTTGTCAACAAGCTTATTCCGGACTCCATTGCTAAGGATATTGAAAAAGCCTGCCTTAGCATATATCCACTGCGAGATGTTTGCATTAGGAAGGTAGGTGTTTCCTAAAATTTAAAAATTCTACAGTTTTAATTAGCAAGAATGTTTTCATATATTGTTATTTTGGAAGACTGTTTTGACTGTTTTGCAATGAAATTTATAATGCGATTTTGAAGTCTATGATTATTGCGGAGCCACACTCAGCGGTAGCAAAATCAGTCAGTACCATATTTTTACCACATTGATTGCCCCTTTCCAAATAGCATTGGTGAAACGGGAACAAGCTAGGTTACGATAAGGCTGACATATCCTTGTAGGATAAAAGCCTTTTTAAATAAAGATAGATAAAAAAAAAAGTCTGTGATTAATTATAAATTTCAAGAACTGTGGGCCTAGTCAATTTTTGAAAATAATATGAAAAAGTCAATTTAATAGTCTGCCTGCTGGTAAGTAATTTCTGGAGCCTGGTTACCTAAATCTAACATCGAATAAATAAGGAAAGAAAAAATTATGTTAGCTTAAATACCTCACAGCCTGTATTTATACTACTGGCTCCTGAAGTGAGTGGATCGCTGTTTTTTTCGTTAGAAATGGGCAACCCAAACAAATAGACTTCATAAGTAGAAAATAAGCATGTAGTACAGTTTAGATATTTTTAATATTTTTTAAATTAGAAATTGCATCGCCAAATGATCAGTGTTCTAATATCTATAGCTGGATACTGAAGTAGGCCAATTTTTTTATTAATAAACCAATTATTTAAGTTTGTGTTACTCAATAGAAAATTAACTTGGTTAATTTTCTATTGTATTTTAAATTAGATTTTTCGCATTTAAAAATTTACAAATGATTATTATTTAACTATATTTGGATAACTCTGAACTTTGATGTGACTGTCAAATACCTAATTCTTATTTGTACATTGATCTTCCTACATTTAAATTATATTTTTTATGATGACACACCTAGCTCGCAATGACAACTCACATGATGAAATTTCATGTTCCCTTTTGATTTTATATCTGATCATAAGTTTTTTTTTAAACTATTCTTTTTTACTGGAGCAATTGAAATAACAAGCATTAATTTTAGGTGAAAGTGTTGAAGAGGCCTCGTTTCGAAATCTCCAAACTGATGGAGCTCCATGGTGAAGGTGGTGGTGGCAAACGTGGGGAGGCTGGAGACAAGTCTGAGCGTCCTGAGGGTTATGAACCACCTGTACAAGAGAGTGTCTAAGTCTAATATACTTTTAAAAAACTGGATTAATTATTTTATTTCACTTTACCAAAATACAGGGATATTTTGCAATAATCTGTCAAATTTGCAGAAAAAGTTCAGAATAAAATATAGGCAAATGGTGAAGAAAATTATTTAAAAAAAAATCTCAAACATTGTCATTTTTATCTTTTAAATTAAAATGCGTGGTAATGCTATATTTTAAATTGTCATTCATAAATTAATATCTAACGCACCGTTTCCCATTTACCGGGTCGCGATCCGGTACCGGGATATCAAAATAAAATACCGGGTCGCAACATTCCCGCTTTGTTTTAAAAATAATATCTACTATCGATCGAAGCATCGTTAACATTCATTTTTAAAACATTTTTGCTATTAATAAATGTGTATTATTTTACTTAATGGAACCAGCTTGGCTTTAAAAGTATTAAGTGGGTCACGAAGGTACAGTGTGAAAATTACCGGGCCATGGCAGAACAATGTTTGGGAAACACTGATCTAACGTAAGGGTCGCTCGGTTGGCAAAAACGTGAATTTAATCGCACAGAGCGCGAGTACACGTACGAGTTGTTGCCCATAAATAGCATTCAATTTGGGATAATCCTGTATGATAAACAAGTACGATGGCACGATGGCCCTATATAACCTACAAAATGGTCAGATTTGAAGCGCCGCCATTGTTTGTACCGGGAAATAAAATTGACAATATCGCCTGTCTCACTCTGCGCTTTAGGCCCGCCACATACATACGGAATTCCGTTTCGGGATTCCGTTACGGAATTACGAAAGGGTCGGCCACACACATACGGAATGCCGTTTTGCCCGCAAAATTTCGAACGGAAAAATAGCGTACGTGTGTGACGGGTCATAGATTTTATATGAACTTGCTGCGTTTGTAATCTCGAATCGTAATATCGAAACGGAATTCCGTATTTATGAGGCCGGCCTTAGGCATGAAATCGTCAACTATTGGCGCTCCTGCCAATATGCGACGAAGGTGGAACACCATGGGGTTTTAGTCGGTGCGAGTCTGATATAACCCGTCCTTGCCTCCGCGAGTCTGGTATGCGGAGGTATTTCCCCATGTAAAACAAAAACGAAAAAGGACAGCCTTGGCTAAACACCTTAATAAATTTAGAGGTAGAGAAGAGTGCTTGAGCAGTTTGAATCAAGTTTAGTCAGTCAACGACAGTACTTGTTTTGTACCAAAAGTAAAGAAAGCAACAAGTAAAAATACTTGCGGCATTTACTATCATTTATTGAGAATATTATACAAAATTTTATTTTGAAGATAAGTGCGCTTGCAAAGGCAAGCTCAGCACCCCCTTGAACCTTGCGCCTAGGCTCTAGCCTGGTTAGCCTGTGGGTAAATCAGGCCCTGTTTATACTAGCGCTATATTATCTATCTGAGGCTGTGCTATAATAGCATCTTTATATATAGAATAATAAAGGTTGGGCCTTAACTGTATGAGCGTTTTATTTTGTCTATAATTCAAAAACCGTTAGAGGTGCGGGGGTGTCGTTAGACGCGCTATTTCGTGGAATTTTTAGTGGTCGTCATGGACATACGAGGGTGGATTGAAAAGTACTCGGCCTAACCAAGAAAATAAACAAATACTAAATCAGTTATATTTTTATTTTTCTACATAATCACCATCAAGTTCAATACACTTTTGCCACCTCCCCTTCCAAGCATTTAGACCGTTGAAAAAAAATGATTCTTCCTTAGAGTCAAAATATGCGTCTACAGCTGCTTTGACCTCGTCGTTTGTAGAAAATCTTTGACCTCCCAAGTGCTTTTTTAGGTTAGAGAACAGAAGTCTGATGGTGCTAGATCAGGTGAATACGGCGGATGCGGTAACAGTTCAAAGCCACAGTTGTGAATTTCAGCCATTGACTGTACTGACGTGTGAACACGGGCGTTATCTTGATGAAACAGGACTTTTCTTCTGAGCATTCCTCGACGTTTTTCTTTTATTTCCTCTCGTAAACGACGTAGTAAGGTGCAGTAGTAATCAGAGTTTATATTCTGACCCCTTTCAAGATAATCAATCATAATCACACCTTTCGAGTCCCAGAATACTGAAGCCATCACCTTATTTGCCGACAAAATCGACTTAGACTTTTTAGGGGGTGGTGAACCAGGTCTTCTCCACTGTTTTGATTGTTGTTTTGTTTCCGGTGTACAGTAATGAACCCATGTTTCGTCCATAGTAACAAAACGATTCAAAAAATCATCTACATCGGCTTCAAATAACTCCTAACAGTCGCGTGAAATAGTCAATCGCGTCCTTTTTTGTTCAACTGAAAGCAGTCGCGGAACCCACCTCGCAGACACCTTGTGGAAACCCAACTCGTTGACAATGATGTTTTGAGTTCGTTCATAAGAGATGCCTATAATCTCGGCTATCTCTCTAATTTTTAATCTGCGGTCTCCCATTATTAAATCTAAAAGTACTTTTTTAATATTTTCGTCAGTAGTTGACGTCGAAGGCCTTCCAGAGCGGGGTTCATCTTTCACCCTCTCTCTACCACGCTTAAATTCTGCTATCCATTTTTGACGGATGAATATGACAGAGCACAATCGCCTAATGTACTGACCATGTCATCATGGATGGCTTTTGATGATAGCCCCTTCTTATGGAGGTACTTAATGACGGCACGCTGCTCGATTTGCTCCATTCGCGGAAATTATGTCCGATTACTTTGTTAATAAATTTATAAAATCACAACTAATTATCGCATACGTTTCGAACTTCACACAATGAACTAGTCTGAACTGAACTAAATAATGTGGGTAGATTTGATTTTTAGAATTGAATGGATCTGTGTTAGGCCGAGTACTTTTCAATCCACCCTCGTATTATAAATAAAATATTTATACTCCATGGACGAGTTCTCGGAAGCACAGCGTGCGTTTTGTGCTCGCGCGTATTATGTCAATAACAATTCTGTGACTTGCTAGGCGAATGTACCGCGTTCGCTTCGGCTTACATGACATCAGAGAAGCACCATGCGCAAATTCTATTCGGAAATGGGTTAAGACGTTCGAGGAAACCGGGTCTACAGTAAGAATAAATGTTTGTGTGAGTGTGCTGTTTCGAGCGTTTCCTATTTATAGGTAGTTTTCGTACGGTTCCTATTTATTATATTTATACTGTGCCATGGACGCTTACTCGCGAGCACAGCGTGCGTTTTGTGCTCGCGCGTATTATGTCAATGACAATTCTGTGACTGTTGCTAGGCGAATGTACCACGTTCACTTCGGCTTACATGACATCAGAGAAGCACCATGCGCAAATTCTATTCGGAAATGGGTTAATATGTTCGAGGAAACCGGGTCTATAGTAAGAATAAATAATGCGGGCCGCCCGAAGTCAATACGGACGCCGGAGATTATTCAACGCGTTCATGAATCGATTAGAGAAAATCCTCGACAATCGACTCGCAAAAGAAGCTAAATCTTGAACAGGAAGAGGGCCACTGCGTAGGATTTTGCAGCGTGATTTGCATTTAAAAGCGTATAAAATTCAGTTAACACAAGAGTTGAAGCCTAATGATGCCAATCTTCGACTTAATTTTGCTAATGTTATGCTGGAACGTTTTAACAATGTTTCCAAAATACTCTTCAGTGATGAGGCAAACTTTCATGTCATCATCATCATTACAGCCCTTCACAAGTCCACTGCTGAACATAGGCCTCCCCCAAAATGTCAGTTTCATGTCAACGGACATGTTAATAAGCAAAATTGCCGGTTTTGATCCGAACCTAATCCCCGCGAGATGCATAAAAGACCTCTTCATAGCCCTAAGCTCATTGTGTGGGCTGGAATATCGGCTAGTGGAATAATTGGGCCATACTCTGAAAACCAGAGGAGTTGCTGTAACAGTGAGTGAACAATCTGAGAATTATTTTTATACGTGGTAGAGCCATGCTGCAGCTATATTAGTAGTATAGTTGTACCACGAATGGGTCGGCTCGACCGGGGAAGGACCACGCTTTCACAGAACACCAGCGTAAAATGGCAGCTTGACACTGCTGTGTTTCGTATGATGAGTGTAGAGAACCGGAGACCCATTTTACTGAAAAAGAGGCATTCCATCTTAGCCCTCACGGTTGAGGACACATTTGCATTTTGATTCTTTATTGACGATAAATGTAGAGGTCTATGGGTGACAGCAACCACTTACCATCAGGTGGACTGTGTGCTCGTTTGTCACCCTTATTCTATATATAAAAAAAATATTCTCACATGTTGCAAGAATTTCTGGTTCCAGCCCTTCAAGAATTTCAAGGTTATAATTCTAAAACGTGGCATCAACAGAATGGAGCCACGTGCCACACTTCTACAGTCTCAATAGACGTGCTGAAAGAAATGCTTCCAGGAAAACTCATATCGCGAAGAGGAGACATTGAGTGGCCTCCAAGGTGTCCAGATCTTTCTCCTAATGATTATTGTTTGTGGGGTTACCTAAAAGCAAGAGTCTACGAAAATAATCCAACAACAGTTGAAGAGTTAAAGTAAAACAAGAACGTGCAAGAAATTAACGCTATTCCACGAGCAACTTGTCATCGTGTTTATCAAAATATGCGGGTGCGACTACAAGAATATCAAAAAGCTGGTGGTGGTCACTTAAATAACATTGTTTTTAAAAATTAGATGACACTTAAATTTCAATTTCTTGTACTTTTTAAATGTATAAATAAAAAAACAATAAGATTTATAATTATTTTTCATTACATATTGAAACCACTCATACAGTTAAGGCCCACCAGTTATATTAGTTACTTCAAAAAGTATACACTAAATTGTGTACGTTTTTGACTCATAGCGAGATTTTGACTGAATGCCTGCTGCTACATTAAAAGAAAAAAACATATGATTTTTGAAGCTTTTTCATTCATTTACAGTTCACACATACTTCATTATAAAACGAGAAAATGCAATTAGGTACATTTCCGTGTAGTGACGGCGTAACAGAATCATCTACCAAAT